CAGAGGCACAAATCGACCACAAACCAACTGAAAAGAGGCGCAGACACACAAGACAACAAGAAAGAGACACAAAACAGCCACAAGTACACTGATAACAAACACAAATGGACCCAAATAGGCTCTAATGGTGCTGCAGAAACCAGCCTCACCTGTACCGGGCGGGCGGGACACCTGTACCGGGTGGACACCTGTACCGGGTGGACAGGACACCTGTACCGGGTGGACGGGACACCTGTACCGGGCTGGACAGCTGCACCGAGTGGACGGGACACCTGCACCGGGCGAGCGGGACACCTGTACCGGGCGAGCTGGACACCTGTACCGGGTGGGACACCTGCACCGGGCGAGCTGGACACCTGTACCGGGCGAGCTGGACACCTGTACCGGGTGAGCTGGACACCTGTACCGGGCGAGCGGGACACCTGTACCGGGTGAGCTGGACACCTGCACCGGGCGAGCTGGACACCTGTACCGGGCGAGCTGGACACCTGTACCGGGCGAGCTGGACACCTGTACCGGGTGAGCTGGACACCTGTACCGGGTGGGACACCTGTACCGGGCGAGCTGGACACCTGCACCGGGCGAGCTGGACACCTGTACCGGGTGGACAGGACACTTGTACCGGGCTGGACACCTGTACCGGGTGGACAGGACACTTGTACCGGGCTGGACACCTGTACTGGGTGGACGGGACACCTGTACCGGGTGGGACACCTGTACCAGGTGGACGGGACACCTGTACCGGGTGGACGGGACACCTGTACCGGGCTGGACACCTGTACCGGGCGAGCTGGACACCTGTACCGGGCTGGACACCTGTACCGGGCGAGCTGGACACCTGTACCGGGGTGGGCTGGACACCTGCACCGGGCTGGACACCTGTACCGGGTGGGTCAACTGCCACTTATTGGTGAACTTCTGGCTTCGGTCGGACTTTGACCCGCTGGGACTCAGAACCTGTTAAAGATCAACCAGAGACACTCGGAGTCGTTTCAACAAGTACAGAAACACTTTATCTCTGAATTATTCACTGAAAAACAAACTTCATGTCAGTTATTTATCTTGTTTATCTGCGAACAAACTAACAAACAAACTAAAAGTTTGACGAATCTCAAGTTAATGAAGTCGTTAACTGCGCATGCCCAAAGCTAACGTACACAAACATTCAAGCTAGCTGTTTACTTGCTACGAAGCAACGTCAAAATACACACTTTAACACAAACCACCCGATAAATCAGCAATAATCAACAAGATACGCGCTGAGGCAGCGTCCGCCGTCACCCGTCCGTGTCTCGGCTGTGAAACTGCGGAAATCCAGGAAACATCGCTGAAATAAACAAATCGGGCGGTACCAGCTCTGCACGGGGCTACGAACCCGGTCACAACACCGGCGCCGTTAGAGCACAACGGCAGCAGTGTAGCAGTGCAGCTGGTTCCGGGTTCCGCAGCTCCGCGTCGGGCTGCCCGGACAACTGCCTGAACAAAAACCACGTCATTTACAATGGAAATAAAAAGTAAACTTCAAACTTCTTCTAATTAATATTAATTTTCTTTTAAATACAAAAATGCTACTTAACAGAAAATTGCATTTGGCGTTAATTTTAGTGGAGCAGTTTAACCCAAAATGTACATGTTTAAAAAAGTAAATAAATAGCGTCACACATTAATAAATACTGAAAATAATTAGTAAATAAAATTATAAATACGTTAGTAGAGACTTGTAATGATTGACTCGGATTTAAAGTTGAGTTTTGAGCACTTTTGACTAATAATGTAAATGCACAATTTTTTTTTTCTTTTAAAAAAGCGTTAACTAGTCAGAAAATACATAAATAACTTTATTTCTAATTTTTTCCTCAATCAAAAAAACAACCAAATGATAAAGTGTCTCTGTTATACGGTGTCATTAGAACTGTTTGTTCAAAAGACGAAGACGTTTGTTCATTTTATTGCTGCTGTTATTATTTTAATGACTTGTTTCTGTCTAAAGTTCTAAATGAATAAATGTTATTTCTGCCAATACAAGATGTTGGTCAATATCAGTCCCTGACCAATCTGATGAACATATGATGATCGAATATGATGGAGCTGCATTAAAACCACGGTTCTTACCTGCTGTCTGACTTCTGTCATCACGTCGATGCAAATCAGAGGAAAAATAAAACCTTCACATTTTAAATACTTTATTTAAAAAGAGGAAACAGTACAAATCTGCCAGAGGACGAACGTAAAGAGAAATGATTCCGTTCTTGTTGATATTCACGTTGTTTTTCAGTCATCGCTGATTATTAATTCAACATTTCACTTCTTTCCGTCGCTCTGATCAAACCGTGATTCTGTTTCCTGAACGACTGACGGACGCTTTGGTTTTCACCGAAGCTCCAACAATCAGCGTTTAACAGCTTCAATAAATGCTTTACAACAGATGTAAAGACGTCAGAGCGTCGGCCGAGAGTTTGTGGCTTCTTTACATCATCAGAGGAAAAGATTCAACAAACAAACCACATGTCAGAGTCTTTGCTGCTCAGTCTGTTGTTACACAGTCCAGCTTGTGTGGAGGCTGGACTTGAATCCATATTTATGAACCAGCTGCAGGTCGTCTGCTCAGCGTCAAACATAATGACCGGCTGGAACAAAGGAGAAGCAGAACAAAGCAACACTTGTAAAGATTTAATCCCAAATCTACTTTTAAAGGCAGATATGAGATGTTCCAGGAAATAGCCAGACCCTTCCTCTCCGTTTCCTGCAACAGATAAAAGCTCCGTCACGTCTAGTCCAGATGAAGATCCACAAACAGAATCCTGACTTCCCTCCTCGGACTCTGATCTTCACAGGATCCTCTACAAGCGGTCGCCGTGACGCCGGACTGGTCACTTGGCGGCGGCGTTGCCGTGCGGCGGCGGCTGCTGCTGCGGCTGCTGCTGCTCGGCCAGCGCCTGCTGCAGCCGCGTGCGCTTGCGGGAGTAGTGCTGCCAGTGCAGCAGCTGCTGCTCGTCGATGAACTTGGCGCACTGAGCGTTGACCAGCTCCTTCCTGAAGTGTTCGTACTGCAGCAGCTCCAGCATGTGCAGGCAGTGAGGATACCTGCAGGGGGCAGCAGAGAACCAGAACCCGGTCAGCTCTGCACACAAACAACCTCCAACAGAGACACGAAACCGCCGAGTCGTGCGTTTTCTGACAATATTCATCACTAAAAGTGGATTTTTGTTTTTCTTTCTGTTGAACAGTTTGGAAAAGTTCACAAACAGTCATGTAGAAAAATAACAAAAAAATAAATAAAACACATTTGATCCTTTTTGAAACAGAACAAACAGATGAAGATGATAAACTAAAAAAAAAAAAAAAGACATTTTTAAAAAATGGGATTTTTTTTTTTTTTAGCACATTTTAAAAATATTTGCGAAACTTTCTCAAATATTTAAAAATCCTCAAATATATTTAGGACCGTTAAAAAAAATATTTCAGACATTTTATTCACATTTTATTTATATTTTAGAGATTTTTTATTAATTCTTTTTAATTTTCAGACATTTTTCCCAGATATTTTCTAAAAACATATTTAGGGACATTTAATTCTCACTGGTAGACATTTCAGTGATATTCATCCATTTCTTTTTAAAAAATTGTTACTTTTATTATTATTTCTGTAAATGTTCTGTTTTCTAAAATGACATTTTAGTAAAATTCAAGTAACATTTTTTTTTAAATTAAAAAAAAAACATTTAGAGAAAATTAAGTCTCATGGAAACCCCTGATTATTATTATTATTATTATTATTATTATTGTTATTATTCTTGGTTAATATGCAGACAAGCGTCACTTCTGCTCTCAGGAGGCTTTAACTTTGTTTAAGTTTGCCACTTTAATCCCTGAAAAGAGGAGAAGTAAAGGCGACGCTCGCCTGAGACGGACCAATCTGACTAAATCAACCCTAAACAAAGAGAACAAAGAGATGAGACCGACTCGGCACTCAGCAGAAACGTTCTTACTTGAGGAACTTTGCGTATTCGGGCTCCTTCCAGTAGAGCAGGTACTTCAGGTAGTTGATGAACGGCCTCTCTCTGAGGAAGCCTCTCTGAGCCAGAACTGGAGACACAAACACACCAAACAGTCCGTCAGACACACGTTTAATCAGCGTTTAGCTTCATAAAACCACTGCGTCGTGATCGTCCCACAACACCAGCACAGCATCAGTTCATCCTCACAGAAGAACCGACGTTCTTCTGCATCTCTGCAAAAAAACACAAGTACAAACAAACTGCAGATGTTTGTGTTTCTGTCACTCACAGTTCAGGTAGTTGGGATTCGCCAAACACTGGACGAACTCCAGCTCCGACTGGAAACGGTTCCTGGCCTGTTCCTCTGCACCACAAGACACAACCAGTTAGACGAGAACCAGGGACACAGTTCAATCCAGTCTGAGGAAACAACTCTGGGAGGATTATTAACACGTTATTTATCCTCAATAAATTCAAATGAAATTACTTAAAATGAACAGTTTTAGGGCTGCAGGGTGGCGCAGTTGGTAGCACTGTTGCCTCGCAGCAAGAAGGTCGCCGGTTCGCGTCCCGGTGAGGACACCCGGGATCTTTCTGCGTGGAGTCTCCATGTTCTCCCCGTGCAGCGTGGGTTCTCTCTGGGTTCTCTGGCTTCCTCCCACAGTCCAGAAACATGCTGAGGTTAATTGGTGATTGTAAATTGTCCGTAGGTGTGAATGTGAGTGTGCTTGGTTGTCTGTCTCTAAGTGTAGCCCTGTGATAGACTGGTTACCTGTCCAGGTGAACCTGCCTTCACCCTAAGTCGGCTGGGATAGACTCCAGCCACCCCCGCGACCCTAATCAGGATTAAGCGGTGTATAGATAATGGATGGATGGATGAACAGTTTTAGTCCACATGAGTTAACCACACTCAACAAATCCCTGAGAAAGAGCCACATACCAGACTCTATTCAAAAATGTGGCACTTTAACACCGCCGCATTCTGAGCAGATGTATACCTCAAAACAGTAAGTTAATCGATTAATTAAATTTATCAAGGAAATAAGTGGGAGCCGATTTTGACAGTTAGAGTCATCTATTCAGAAACTATCTCCAGTCGTTTCCAAACGCACAGAATTTAGTCGACACGGGAGGATTTTCATAATCGGAAGAATTTCTGATGTAGTTCGGAACTGCGCTGCATCGACACGCAGAGAAAGGCGGCCATGCTAGCTGCTAAATAACTTGAATATTACGATAGGACTCCAGTAATCAGACATCAGTCTTCATGTGTAGGTGCTGATAAATCTCATTTAACAAACACTGCTGCATACACCAGACTCCATTCAAATATGGGCCGATTTAACGCTACGTCGTCGAGCAACGGACAACTTTAAGCTCGTCCTTCACGTGTCAAAGTTTTACGAAATGCGTGAGAAATGTTTGCATTTGTTCTTTATTCATCCGTATTTGACCTCATTAATCTCACTGGTTAAGGTCTTCGGTGTTTACGTCCTCTTTTCTTTATTCTCACGTTAAACGGACTTTTACAGACTAAGCGGACCGACGACGGTGAAAGAGGCTGAAATAAAAACACAAACTAAAGGATTCAGAAGCTAAAATCTTCGCCGAGTTGAAGATTTTTTCTCATTTGCTCAGAAAAGTCCTTCAGTTATTCACAAACACGCGTTTAAACATCACAACGTGTTAAGTAAACCTAAAACCGACTAATTTCCCGGCGGAGTTCGTTTCTCTTTGTATGCTAGCGAGCTAACGTTAGCGCTTAGCTGCTATATCGGCTACTAACCTGTTTCCATGGCAGCGGCTCGAACACTGGAGGCGCCGAAGGCAGCAGAGGTTTGTTATCCGGATGGAAATTAGCAAAAAACTGTCTGCAGACGGTTTAAAAAACTAGAACAGAAACCTTTAAACGCAGCTTTTTGTTGCTGTCGTCGTCACACGTACGCCGACATGTTTGCCGGAAGTCTGAACCGTCTGTGCGACACTCGCGTCGGTTTACGGCGCCTGCAATTTGTCTTCTGGCCGCCAGAGGGAGACATTTGACAAGAACACGTTCTGATTCCAATAAAGAACAGGGAACACGTCAACAGATGGATGCTTTTTATTGATAAACGAACCAAATAATGTGCAGTTATGTGCAAGAGACACACATGAGGTGATTGGTTTTGTTAGTATTTATAAATGACTAATTATTGATCAGTATTCAGTTTATTTTGGGACTGTTTTTGGTAAGTTTCATTGATTTTTGGTCACTGTGTGGGAGTTGATAGCCATTTTGTATTTATATGTTTTATTCTTGCTTTCCTTTTTGTGTTTTTTGTTGTTGTTGTTGTTGTTTTTTTTTAGCTCATTGTGCATTTATTGTTCATTTTGTGCGTCTTTATGGTTATTTGCAGTTTTACGTGTTTATCTTGCGTCTCTTTTTGTGTGTCTCCATCATCATATTGAACACATTTGTATTAATTTTGAATCTTTTTATGACCATCTGTCTGTCTTTATGGTCCCTTCGCGCCGGCCTGCGTTCACCTCGCGCCTCCTTTTTACTGTTTTGCGTCCCGTTGTCGTCGTTCTGCGTCTCTTTGCGGTTGTTTCGCATCCCTTTGTGGTCATCTTTCCTTTTTGTGTTTCTTAGAGATGCTTTAGTCTCTGTTTGCAGACTTCTGCATAGCGTCGTGTTTCAAATGTCACACGTTTGTTTAAGGATCCACCTTTATTAATACCAAACACACACGTTAGCAACACGATGGTACAAAACTGTGGAGGTTACATATGTACACAACAAACACACACTATTTAAATAGAAAACAATACAAAACGTACAGTATGTTTACTAATTACTTCCAATTGACAGGGATACAGAGGAAACAACAGCTGCAAATAAAAACATTTAAAACCTTCGGTTGAATTTCCATTTTGTCGAGAATCAGCCACATGATAGAAAACTGCATCGTCTGCGTAAAGACGAACGTCTGCAGCTCAGCTTTGGTAACGGACATCAGCAGGTCTTAAAAGGCCGAAGGAGGAACTTTATCCCACTTTACATTGGATTAACATCAAGGACAGGCCTTCACTTCTGATTTCAGAGTTTTATAAATATATTTTACAACGTTTTAGCTTCGTTGTTTGCTGTTAATCAAAACAAACTTTGCTCTTGATGCTTTCGGTCACTAATCATCCAGAACTGCTTCCACATGTTTAAACATTTTTACCGTCTTTACAGTAAACTGCAAATATTTAAGTTGTGGACAAAAACAGCACATTTGTCATCTTGAACTTTGGGACTGATTTAAATTTTTAGAGCCCAAACAACTGATGGATTAACACGAATCGAGTCCTAATTAGAGCCCAAGTGACTCTTTAATTATTGTTTTAATTACTTGTTTCACAATTTTTGTTTTATTTTTTTCATTGTTTTTCTATGTTTGTTAAAATACAACAAAAGATGTAGACATTCATTATATCAAGCAAAGCAAATGTTTGTTTGTTTTTTTTAGTTTCTATCATGTTAATTCCAAAAGACACTGTGGGAACATTTTCTAGATGAACACTGTGGAATGTTTTTAAATACCTTCAGAACGTTGCAGGCCAAACGTTCCACTGATGTTAACACGTCACATTGCAAGAACGTTTTACATAAAATCACCTGAGGCCTCCAGAACGACTGCAAAACTGTTTCTAATGTCGGTTCTTCCTTTGGTATCGTAGAACACGATCCGACAACGTCCTCCTAACATCTGCGAGATTTGAAAAAGGTTCCATTTTGGTTTACTTTTAACCTCACCGGAACTTTAAAAAAAAAATAAAAAATTTATGCACTTACAGATGACACTGCAAGAACATTCTGCAACGTTCCAGCAATGTTTTCTGCTGGATTTCTTTTTTCGGTTTCCTGAACTTGAAGGCAGAATAAAGACTTGTCAAGACGTTCTAAAAATGTTTGGCAATAATGCTGTTGGACTGTTGCGTTGAAAACGTTCTTCCTCTGTTCTCACAAACAGCAGGAACACTTTACAGAAGAACGTCACGTCACATATTTACCGGGACGTTATTGATTGAAACAACAACAATCCCTAAAACATTCTTTAAACGTTAGATTAAAAATTAAAAACCAGACGAGAACTTGAAGCTAACGTTCTCTGCTGGCTTTGAAAACTTCTCTGGTCACTTAAAAAAAAAACCACACACACATGTGGAAAGTGTTGAGTTCTAAAGACGGGTGTAGATCATTAGTGAAACCTGGACTTGTGTTTCGGTGAAGCTGGAACTGGAGGACGTCTGCAGACATCATTCACGGCTGCTACTTCAGACTATTAATTAGAAGCCGACATTAAGTCATCAGACGACGGTTCGTCTCTCTGGAGGTTTAAATTTCCCGTAAAAGAGCAGCGACGCTGAACCGTGACCGTGTTTCATGCATCATATATTAATACAGCATTTGAGTCACATATATAAATAACAGCGAGGCAGGAAGTCACATCGGCGCCGTGGCGTTGGCCCACGACGGGAACGTGTCCAGAGCAAACATGGCGCGACCCCAACTGTTGATGGCCAAACTGATGCAGCCGATTCCGATGATGTTCATGACGATGCCGGTTTTAGCCTGCAGGGGGCGCAGCGGGAGAAGGAGGTTATAATGATGAAGGTGGCGGTGGTGGTGGGTCTGTACCAGGGGCAGGACTCACCATGTCGGACACCTTGAGGACGCCGTAGGAGAAGACGATGGCGTTGGGGGGCGTGGCCACCGGCAGCATGAAGGCGAAGGAGGCGCTGAGCGTGCAGGGGATCATCACGTAGAGCGGGTTCATGCTGATCGACTGCGACTGAAACACAACGAACACGTCGACGTGAAGCAGCAACAGAACATTCTGGGTCTGAGAGGGTCACATGTGATTCCTCGTTTTGCAGGTTTAAAGCTGTTCTTGGTACGTTCTTTTACAAGTGTTACAGGAGTACTTATTTAAGTAATTTTTATTTATTTTATTGATTTTTCTTTTGTGTTTTTATGGTTTTTACTTCAATTTTACTATAATTATTTTTTTGTCTTTTGTTTTATTCGTTTGTGTTTGTTTTTATTTTTACATTTATTTTTAATGTATTGATTTTTTTGTTTTTTAATTGTTTTGAATTGTATTTCATTGTAAATCTTATGTTTTGTCTTGTTTAAATTTATTTGTGTTTGTTTTTATTTCATTTTATTTTTGTTATCTGTTTTATTTAGTCTTGTGGGGGGAGGGGGGGGGTGAATTGTAAATTATAAATTGTACGTATGGAAATCTTTCTTTTTTTCCTGCTTGCTTTTTTTTTTTACTTTTGTTTTTTTAACTTTTTGTATATTGTTAAATGTTTTTAATTTTGTTCGCTGCTACTGTGATAAAACAATTTCCTTTGTGGATCAATAAAGTTTAAGTCTACGAGCAACACAGCATCGGTTCAGCTTACGTTTATTTATGAAGTCGTAATTAGCGTTACGAGTTAGTTCAGCTAACGGGCCTCCATGACAGAGACTTCTGTGGTTAATGACCTCCAGCCAGAGTGGACTTATTGAAAATCAGAACAGATGATTTTATCAACAGATAATTCATTTTACCACCAACGTGTGTTCTTGTTTTTCTTACTTCCACTTTGCTGCTGTGATGTCGGACAGTTCAACCTTGTGGGACGAATAAAAGGATGTTTTATTGTCCTGTATTCTAGCAGCAGCTGTAGTACCTGGTTGTTCCACCAGGTGGAGACTCTCTCACTGTTTAACAGAGTAGAGACCAGAGGAAGCATCACTCAGACTGCATGCTGGCAGCAGAGAGCATTGTGGGAGTTTAGCAGCGACGGGGGGCTGCTCTTACTGAGGAAGTTATTATTGTTTAAAACGTATGACGCGCGTGACGGCAGATGTAAACAAAGGTTTGTACCGACATCGAGCTCATGCGTCTCGTGTGACTCGTTACCATGGAGGCCAGGATGGGCAGGAAGAGCGTTGCCGTGGCGACGTTGCTGGCGCACTCGGTGAAGGTGGCGATGAGGAGGCAGAGGATGACGGCGATGGCCCACGGAGGGACGGAGTGCAGCGGCGTCATCTGAGCGCCGAGCCAGCGGGACAAACCCGACTCCTGACAAACAAACATAAACACAAACAAACAAAAATCAACACAAACAAACCAACGTGTTTGCATGAAGGAAACCGAAAGCTGCTGCAGAGAACTCTTAACTCGCACACTCTATAAAACTGGCTGCTTTGGTCTGAGAATGTTGAACCTGAACGCCGTTAATATAAAATATACACACAAAAAAGTTCTGATTAGTCAGAAAAAAATATGATAAAAATGGTGAAATACACAAAAATAGCAGCAAATATCTAAAATAATGAGACTTTTAAAATCAAATACAGTAAAACAGCAATTTTCTAGTCACATGTAAAAGAATCATAAAATACTAATTATGTGCAGCTTCTGTTTTTTAAAAGAATAAAGTAAAATATAACAGCTAAAAAGAAAATTAATTAAATCAAAATAACTACTAATAATTTAATAAATATCATTCAGATTACTATTTTAAATTTTTTAACAGTTTTTCGATCCTTAATATACGTTTTTTTAAACTGGACAGTTTAATCCAGATGTTTGATGTGGATGTTATTCACGGTTCTGGTCGGTAGTTCTACAGTTAACATGCAGGTTGAAGCTTTGTTCAGTGACTTTATTAGATATGATCTCCATGTAAATGGAAAAAAATCTGTTAAAATGTTCTTGTTTTCACAGAAACGTTTTTTTTTTCACCTCGCTGCCTTTGGCCAGAGCGAAGCCTCCTCCCAGCAGCAGCACGATGTTCCACGGCATCTTCTTCTGGGTCACCTGCCAGGTGAGCAGAGGAGGGGCGGGGCCTCTGGACACCTGGGACTCTGGTTGGATGAAAACAAATAAACACATGAATGGAATAATGTTTGTAACTCAAACAGCCGTCGCTTGTCCTGTCTGGTCGAGCAGCTTCTTCTGTCCGTGAGCTGGTTTGATCTTATTTCAACGTTCTATTCGTTTTAATGACTGCCACCATTTCACAGCTACGAGTTTCATCAAATCCTGTCTGGAGAAGGAAAAGTTACAAATGTACTCAAATTTATCAAAGAAATGACTCCAGATTTGACATAAATTAGCTAAACATTGCCCAAAGGGACTTAAAGATGTGTTTCTAGGTTTTCATTTGCAGTAACTTGTTCTGACCGCCTCTCACATGTCACTGAGAAATTGTGGAAAATGACTAAAAAGAATCCAAGAAAAACTAAAAAGTCGTCCAAAGTTACACTAAAATTGGCCAAAATGACTCGAAATTTGTCCAACAACGACTCAAAATGAGACAAAAATGACTCAAATTGTCGAAGATTTCTCAGAAATTGTCCAAAAGACCTGATTTGTTTTTTGGTAAAACGGTCCTTCCATCATCTAGAACTTGTTCTGACCAACCACCACCACACATGAGCCTGGAACGTTTACCCAGAATGCACTTCACCACAAACACACCATCCCCACTGTGAAGCACGGCGGCGGCATCATGGTGAAAATATGTCATAGACTGTTCACAGTATGAGACATCCCATAATACTGATGCTACCAGCTGGTTAGAGAGGTCATGAACAGAACCAGGTCCAGTGTTCAGACTGAGACACCTGGATGGATGTAGACCTGATCTGGTGTCAGGTTCTAGCAGAACCCAGATGTGTTCTTCCTCCTAAATGTCATGTGTCTATCTGCTGTACTGATGAAGTTCTGAGGCTCAGAAATGATGGAAAAAGTCCATTAAGTAATCAATCTGGACCCTCCTCTGTGGACTTCAAGGACCTGGACCTCTGGAACCTTCACAGTCTGAAGGTAGAACTCTGGTCAGTAGATAAAGGTGCAGATACAGAACCAGATGTTCTGAGGAGGTTCTGGGGGAACTTTGATCAGATCTGGTTGATTTTCTACGCAGGAAGTTTGAAGTTGGAACTCGTTACCGGAGTCGGAGCTCCTCCAGAAGCAGAGGTACCGCGGCGGCTCGGACGGAAGAACGAACAGCAAAACGGCAACGAACAGCGAGACGGTGGCGTCGGTGACGAACCTGCAGAGACGGAAACAGACGAAGAGTTTTATCCAACAAACATCACCTCACATCAACAAAAACACAAAGAATGAGTCAGCAGATGCTAACAGACGCTGACACGTCGTTAACATTCAGCCCAGCTGGTTTGTTCCTCCCAACTTTAAAGGCAACGCCACCAAATACTCAGGAAATGGACGTTAGGGTTCGGTTCTCTGGTTGTTCTGGCGTTTAGCAAACATACATACTGTTGGTAATCCTAACTGACCCGAAAGAAGGAAAAGTTTCGTCACATTTAATGTCAGACAGAGAAAAAAAAGGTTCTGTGTCTCGATGTAGGGTGTCGGTAAAGTTCTGGTTTACACTGTAGGAATAAGGACCCTCTGTCCTGATTGATCAGCTGATGAACCGGTTTGACGTAAAGGTTCTGACATCAGCTGAAGTCTGAGTTCTGGACGTCTGAGCTTCATTATCAGGAAATGTTTTGAAATCATCTGTTTGCACAAAAGTCCAAAGAGCGTTTCTAAAACCGGGTCAGGAGAACGCGCATCTCGGCCGACTACCTTTACACTTCTGTTTTTAGGTCTTTGCGATACTTCGTCTTTACCCAGAACTTCAATTTCACTTGAAAAGACGAGAATCCGTCGAAACAAAACGAGACTCAACGAAACCCAAAATTTGAAAAAGTAAAATAACTGAATTCACACGAGGAATAAATGAGAAACACTTTAACTTCCACCTTCTGCTGCTTTACATTATGCTGACAACCCAGCAAGACCTACTTTGTTCTAATAACGTTATTAGAATGTTCTGCAAAGTTCTAACAATGTTTTCAGTCAGACGCTTTTGTTTTAGGACGACGTTCTCTGGAGACGTTCCAAAAATGTTTGGCAATGACACTGTTGGACCGTTGTGCCCTGATGTTTTTAAAATGTTTCATCACGAATGTTCCTCCTCTGTTATCGCGGCACATTGTGGAACATTGTGAGAACGTTCACGGAACAATGTTTTGTGATGCATTTTGTCAAAACATCACCAGAACATTGAAGGCAAAATGATCCACCTTTGTCAACGTGTCACATTATTGGAACGTTTCATAAAGAATCATCTGATAACAGCCGGAGAACGTTTTTATAACGTTGTGAGGAGCCCAGGAACTGTTTGTTGTGATTTCAGGAAGGAAACTTCCCAGATGACAGGATGTTTACTGCTGTTTGAGCAGCGAACGCATCCGAAAGGTGCTTCAGTTTGTTTATTTTTCGTAGCAATTAAAAAATAAATAAATAAAAAAAATCCAAAATAAAAGTCAAGTTCTTTCAAAATAAAATCTGACTGAAGTGTGAAATCTGAATTGAGTTAAAGATCACTTTCTGGCAACAAACTCAACATTAAAATGTTTCCGGACAAATTTTTTTAAACCAACTGACTAAAAAGACGACTGATGAAGAAAAACGGACAAATTAACGCAGAGTTAGTTTGTAAACGAGCTTCTGTGATTAAACACATTTTTAGTCGGTGTCCCGTCGGAACGTTCGGCCTCCCGTTCTCAGAACTGGACTCGTGTTATTTTCTATTTCCAGGTTGTCAGATTTAAAAAGAAACAAACCGGACAAACAGATCGATGGGTGACGTCTGCAAGGTTCAGAGCTTATGAATGAACAGACAGGAAGCAGGTGAGAGGTGAAGGGGGCGGAGCCTGGACCAGGTCACGTCAGGTGTAACTCAACACTGATAGCAGAACATGTGAGCAAACAGATCTGCTGAAAATGTGTCAGGGCATGGAGGGAACGTTCCCACAACACTGGATAACGTTACCTTAAGGATCTCGTAATTTAGCAAAGAAAATGTTTTATTCAAACGTTTAGTAACGACCATTTTAATTTCCAGTAATGTTCCTCTAAAGTTAATTTTATGTTTTTATGTGAACATTTGGAGGACGTTTGTCAGGAACACAGATTATTACAACAAAGGAAGAACGTTCTCTAGATGTTACCGATTCTCTTATGTTAGTTTTTTCTAAAATGTTTCTGTAACGTGATAAATTTTTTATGTGTGTGGAACATTTTGGCTGCAATGTTCTGAGGATGTTTCGGGAAAATGAATTAATGGCGTTCTTCTGCAAAACGTTCCCACGTTGTTCTGTAACAGAGGAAGAACATCCCCGATGTGACATAGAGGGTTTTTAGAACATCTCTAGAACACTTCTACAGAACATTACCCTGAACCGTTAGCCTTTAAGGAGAACATTCTAGAAACTAAAACAAAACATTCCCGATGAAAACATTACGAGACCATTTCAGAATGTTTTTAGAACAAACTAATGAAATGAAATGAAATGAAATGAAATGAAATGAAAAATACTTTATTCATCCCAGAAGGGAAATTCAATTAATTCAATTCAACTAATTCCTGCTGGGCTGTCGGTACAAAGTAAAAAAAATGTGGCAGAGAACACAACATATATAAGATGTTCCTGTAATGTGATAGCAAATGTTCTGGGGATGTTGTTGAGGAAAGGTCTCCTGTAAAACATTCCCACAATGTTCCATGATAACAAAGGGAGAACGTTCTCAAACCAATGTGTTTTCCAGATTTTATCAGGGCCTCAGATGCGACGTATTAAAAGTGGAACGTTTTTCTTGAAGACGGTTCTCAACACAACATTCCAAAAACATTTTCAAGATAGTATTAAAACTGCAGATGACGGAACGTTCTTTATACGACGTTGAAGTAACAAATTAGACAACTATATAATGTTCTTCCATGATTACAAAAGAGGAACGTTCTCGGTGCAACATCCAGTTTTGAGAACACTGGGGTGCAACGGTTTGACAAAGAACCTGTTCTACCTTTAAGAGGAACATTCTGGGAACCAAAAGAAAACCTTCCAGTGAAACGTTAAAACGTTCTTGGTACACGTTCAATCTCACAGGAACGTTTTTTGGAAACATTCTGTTCCGGTTCTGGTAATATTTTCAGTTGGAATTTTGTTTGTAGGTCACAGTATGTTCCCCCTAAAGGCAGGAAAACGTTCTCCAAAGACATTCTAAAAATGTTTGGTGACAACGTTGCTGGACTGTTTTGGCCTAACGTTCTTTAAACCATAAATTGCATTGAGAAGGCTGTTCCTTCTGATGTCGTGGAACATTGTCAGAACGGTTTATAGAAGAACGTCTTATAATGTGTTTCCCCAAAACATCCTCAGAACATTTCAAGCTCAATGTTCCACCGTAAACATTACTGGAGCGTTTTACAGAGAATCATCCGAGGCCTTGACAACATGTGGAAAACATTTTGTGAATGTTGCTTGGAGAACGTTCTCACTTTGGTGAGAACCAATCTGACAGCTTCCTCCAATTTGGGAAATATTCTTCAAACATTCTGCAGGGTTCTAGTAACGTTCTCCAAAGATGCTCTTAAAATGTTCAGTAATGAAACTGTTGGATGTTCTACTTGCCTGCAGAACGTCTTTGCTCTGTTGTCACGGAACATCAGGAACGTTTTTCCTAAAATCAGTGTCGCTTCAGTTCAACGTCACATTTCAGGAAAGTTTTACGTGTCTTGGTTCACGTTGAACCTCACGGGAACGTTACACAAAACGATGTGACTCCATCAGACGTTCTTTTAACGTTACAATAAAACACGATTAGAAGTCGCAGATAATGAAACATTTTAGGAAACCCAGAGTTAGAGTTCTTTCATTCTGACTAACGGTTTATTTTAAACACATTTATGCACATTAATGATACGAGTTCTGAAATTCTAATATTTTATTTGTCATTTGTTAAACATAAATGTTGTTTGGATCCTGACCGACTGAAAACACCAGAAACAGGTGATTTCTGCACTTTTAATTCACTTTCACAAGAAAACTGAACGACTGAGTCTGAAGCAGAATCTGCATGGTTTCCTTCCAGAGTGCAGAGAATTAAAATTAAATAACTTTGAGCTGTTCAGGTGTTTGTCAGCCATGTTTAAGAAAACATCCATCTGCTGCTGATTAAAGTCGTGCAGCTGAATGAACTCAAGACGTAAAAACCGCTCAGATATCATGTAAGTTCTGCAGGACCGGAGCCGGTGTCCTGATCCTGGGCGAGACGATTCTTGTCGAGCTCCGGTGACCTTCGTCCTCGGTCAGCTGACTCCGGTTCACTCAGCTGCCAATGAGACGCCAAAGTTCATCATTTGTACTCAGGACACGTTTCCTCTGTTTGTTCTTCGCCTCTGATTCCTGTTTGTTCGCCTCGAGGCAAAGTCTGGGTTCATTCGTTTTTCCACTTTACATTAATGCAGGACCAGAGAATTTATTCTGGGCAGCGTTTCCGTCGGAGCGGCGGTTTAAAGGAGCGTTTCGCCGAAAACTGTACAAAGTTAACTCATGTTTTCATGTCAGAAGATGTTCTCAGGGACACAGGTTATGTTCTGTTATATTAAAGTTGAACCCAAACCTCGAAAAACTTTAAAATGTTGCCCAGATGTTCTCGAGGCATCAGATGAGTAGAAATAGTCCCGATGCTAAACAAAAAAAAATACAACGTAGGATCGATGACATCCGACGTTAGCGGTTCTGCTAACGGTTCTAAAGAAGAACATTCTGCCTCATGTGTCCACGACGCACTTTTGCTTTCCAAATCCTAAACGGTGTTCTGGACTCCAGGTGTGTTGGTGGGCGGAGCATCTCGGCGTCACTTGCAGCAGCTCGACAGGCAGGAAACGTGTTTCGCCACGAGTGGAACACGTTGTTTTCAGGAAAAGTTCGTCACGTATGCTGAGCTCGTAGTTCATCGCTAACCAGTTACGGTTACTAGCAGCCGTTAACTGAACTACACCAGCGTGGGTCAGGGATTCAATGTAAGTACCGTAAATCCTGGACTATAAGCTGCTACTTCTTTCACACTGATGCGGCTAATTTATGGATTTTTACGAATTCGCCTCGAGACCAAAGTGACGCTGAGAGCGACGACAGAGAGACTGAGGAAGTGATGAAGTGATTCTGAGGCTGTTCAGCTCCTGAAGACACT